ACTCCCTAATTTTGAGAATTTGGCAAAACAAAAAAACACGTATTCACTTATTTTCGATAAAGAATCGACTCAAGGGTGGCGCCGGATTCCATCGAAACTTTTTTTTCAAAGTGAAACGCCCTAGTATGGCATGGATGGAATGGGTAGCCAGAGTCAAATCAAGCAAGGGTCTACAGATGGTACAATTCAAATTGGGAAAGACACTCACATGTTCATCTGTACCACGGTTCCTCTTCTCATGTCTCAGGCAGGAGAGGTACGTGGTTGTGAACTGGAGAGGCCAGGGGGTGGGCGGGTTAGTCAGGGTAAAGGGGCAGGAACGGGCACACGGACAGCGTGACAGAGCAAGTAATGGCGCAGAGAGAGTATTTCCCAGTCGTCGATAGTTGTAGATATCCGAAAGAAAGGGCCTTTCGCCCAATTACTAACCGCAAGGTTACACGATCACAGAACACACAGGGTGGTAGCGCAATCGATGAATCGCGGTACTCTCACCACGGTGAGTAGCGAAGGGTGGTTTAGTGTGGGTGTGTGCGCTTGTAAGTGGGCTAAAAGTGATCTGTATGGTATTATTCAGGTGGTCTTGGTGCTGACAAGGGAACCTTTTCAGGTGTAAATCCCCGATTTTGTTGAAACTTGGAAACTTTGAAGGTTATCTATGTAGAAATCGGATGGCACTTGAAATTTTTCCTAAACCCGACATTTAGTTTTCCCCTATAATAGCTAGGAGCGGGTAGGAGTAAGGTGTTAGAAAAAAATATTTTTTGAAAAAAGAAAAGCCGTGTTCTAAGGAGTAACTCGTCAATGTAGCGCCCTTTGGGCCAAAATTTTGACCGTTTTGCTCTATTTTGAACCGTTAAAGCGGTAGAGAGATATTTGGGGCAAAAAACAGTGTCAGGCTTAAGTAAACCCCTAGTAAATGTTAAGTTTAGGAAAAATTTCAAGTGCTATCCGACGTCTATTATAATAACCTTCAAATTTTCCGAGTACCAACGAAATCGGAGATTTACACCTGAAAAGGTTCCCTTGTGAGAAGTCGTGGGATCGCGGTAACGGAGTGACGGGAGAGTATGATTCGGAGAGTGGATTGATGGTGGAGGTGGCGCCACCGTCTCCTTCGCCGATTGGGTTTAATGCCCCGCGGGGCTTGGAGCAGCATGCCGAGGACCGGCGTCGCCTGGCCGCGGGTGACGCCGTGCCTTCCCTGCAAGCGGTGGTCAAATCCCCGACGGTGCCCGCCCGACCCGGTCCCCGTCGCAGACAAGACCCCTCCGCGTGATGGCCAGCCGGTGCGAGACCACGTGCGCACCCCGTCCTGCTTTGGTGACCCGCCGGCCAACACGGTGCACTCGTCGTCACCTACCACTGTGGATTCATCGCCGACCATCTCCACCAGTTCTTCACCCCGCAGTGTGGCGGGCCCGGCGCCTCGGAATCATGTGGCCTCATCCCCATCCCCGTCGATTTTCGTGGCGTCCTCCCCGACCATCGTCGTGCTGTCGTCTCCGTCGCCAGGGTCTGAGTTTGGACGCGGCCAGTCTCATCAGCCCGCGTTGACCCCATCCAGAACGGCGAGCGTAGTCTTCGTGGCCACCTGGAAACGTGACGCCTGAGTGGAAAGGTGGTTGTATGGTGGTGTGCTGCTGGTGTGTGAGTGCGTGTGCGCGTGCTGATTTGACCCGGTGTTAATTCTAAAGATAAGATCTCTGACTTTTGCCGCAATTTGGAGGCCAAATCTCCCACTGTGCACCAGGGCAGAGAGAGAGAGAGACCCGTGTATCGTTATGGAGCTGCGATTCCATCGCAGAAGGTAGCGTTTACACTAACTAACTAGCAGAAGCAGACAGCTTCTGCTCCGCGCCTTCCCCTGGCGTCAGAAACGACCTGGCGAGCGCCGCCACGCGAGAGTGCTGCCCCTAGCGGCCGGTAGGCGAGCCCCCCCCCCCCCCCCCCCCCACTCCGCCGTGCGGCGGGAGACTCGAGTGCTACGACCTGCGCGCGGCGGGCCCGAGCGGCAGTTCTTACCTACCCGTGCTAGCGAGTGGACGTGCAATCCGCTCTCGGTCCGTGTAGTCTGAGTGTTTGAGGTGTGTATTGTACCACCAAGAAAAGAACCGGATACGTTGAGAGATTGGATGAGTAAGTTGAGAGACTTTGATGATTGCCATGTAAATGGGCCTCCCTCCAAGTTGCGGAGGAATGAGACATGCGGTTTACCGTATTTCGGCCCCCCACCATCTAGTTCATAAGTCACTTGAAGAGTGGAGAGGTAAGACGGTGGAGCGAAGGAGAAAGTATCTAAAAACTTTCTTAAATACTCAGTTCCCTGACTTCAGGTATTATTTTCTGAATGATCAGACATACCTGGCCACACTATGCATCGTCATGCCCATCGGCTTCTGCCTGTTGGACGATGAACCGCTGACCTCCTATCAGTAGATGGGTGGATTTCTTCCAGCTGCAACTTTCAGACTCGACTATCAGCAAAGTGGTTCCCCCCCATCGTCTCGACACGTGTCTCCTTGCAATGAAGCGCCTTAGGGCTAAGCCACCAAAGCGATTGAGAACGGTGCCTTGGCCACGCCCATCGACCAACGGGGGACCATGGAGCAGAAAGAACAAGACAAATCCCTCGTTTACAGGTTATTCCTGCCTTTGAAAGAGAAATAAAAAATTAGAATAAAATATTAAGAGTGAATTTTCTTGTAGCTCGTTGTCCAAATTTCCAGCCAACATGCAGTCAACTTTCTTCAACGACAACCACCACATTTGCCTTTCCACGAACCTTATCTGCCTTTCTCTGAGACCCCGTCCTTTTCTCTTCTGGATGCTTACATGACCGCAAACTCTGCGACACTGAATCATCAATGTAGTGTCTGTGTGTAAAGCTCGACGAAGCTGGTCGCCGGGGACTGGGTGGTGGAATACCCCGCCACCACTAGACAATTCGTCGACCTGCAGCCATTCTGGAGCGCCGCAATCAAGACCTGTTGTGAACGGAGTACCAAATATTTGAAAGCAAAAGAAAATTTGCGTACTATTGTTTCTTGAAAATAGTACTACGTGTTTGCGCCCCTTGCAGATAGGCAATTTCACATCCGTACCGCCCTGGCGCCCAAAATACCGCCCTGACGGGCCTGCCGTACCGCCCTCTGGCGGCTGGATGTTGGCGTTGGCAACGCTGCCAGGGTGGTTCCGGGGATGTAGCGTTGGGGG